GGGGGGGGGGGGGGGGGGACGGGACCCCCCCAAACTGGGGAGGGAGTAGCCACAAATTGGGGAGAGAAGGCCCAAAGTGGGAGGGAGTAGCCACAAACTGGGGGAGAAGGCCCAAACTGAGGAGGACTAGCCCCAAACTGGAGGGAACTGACCCAGGCCCAGGAGGCAGGAGCCAAGCTCCAGAGGGACCTCAAGGAGGTGGGGGTCCCCTGTCCCCTCCCTGCCCCGAGCAGCCCCCTCTCCCTGGGGACCCCCAGGGTCTGCATGTGCTGGTCCTCCCAGTGTGTCCCCAAAGTAGGGAGCAAGGGCCTGGGTGACATTAAACTGCAGGAGGCATCTCACCGCCCTCCGTGTGCCCATCCCTGCACCCCCCCCAGCCCATTCCAGGGAAATTCTTCAGGAGTAATTGCAAAATCCTCCGGTGCATCAAAGGCAGGATGCAATGTTATTAACTCGCCAGCCAAGAGCTGGCAGAAAAGCAATCGTGGCTGTTTCCCCAAGACTGAGTCGGGGATAATTGAGTTGAATGGGAAGGAATTGCTGCTCTTTGTTGTGGGTTAGGAGATGATCTTCCAGCCCTTCCACACTGATCTCATTTTGGCTTATTCAAACAGACTTTTGAATTAAGAGATAAAGTCGTTTAAAAAGACTCCAAAGCTCTCAGAAAAAACTTTGAAAATCTTTCTCTTTAAACGCGATGATTCTTCTCCTGGTGTCAGTGCTAGAGCTCTGCAGCGCTGTGTTATGAATGGAGAAACACCCCAAGAGTCAGAGCTGAGCTCACCCCAGACACCCCTGACGTCCTAGCTGTGGTTCTCACCCGATGGCTCTCAGCGGGGAGAAGAGGTTGAGGGTCTGGCTGGGCTGGGTGGTCTCAACTCTGGAGCCCCACAGGGCTGGTGAGATGCAGACACCTCCATCCCATCCCATCCCATCCCACCCCATCCCATCCCATCCCATCCCACCCCATCCCCGGTGGGGTGTGCCGTGGGGTGCAGGCGTTGGCGCAGCGGGAGGACATGGAGGAACGCATCACCACCCTGGAGAAACGCTACCTGAGCGCCCAGCGCGAGGCCACCTCCCTCCACGACGCCAACGACCGCCTGGAGAACGAGCTGGCCAGCAAGGACTCGCTCTATCGCCAGGTGGGGCTACCCGGGGTCCTCTGGGGCTACCACCCTGGGACACCCACCACCTTGGGAAGCCACCACCTGGGAGACCCACCACCTGGGAGAACCACCCTGAGATCCATCACCTTGGGGCCACCACCCTGGGAGATCCATCCTGAGATCCACCATCCTGGGACACCCACCCTGAGAACCCACCACCCTGGGAGACCCATCCTGGGACCCCCATGTCCCACCATGATGTCCTTGTCCCAAAAAGCTCCATGGGGTGATGTCTCCATGTCCACGGTGACATCCCTGTCCCAAAGAGCTCCATGGGGTGATGTCTTCATGTCCATGGTGACCTCCCTGTCCCAAAGAGCTCCATGGGGTGATGTCCCCATCACCCACATGATGCCCCCACACCAGGACCTCCATGGGGTGATGCCCCCATGGTGATGGGCTTGATGCTCCTCCATTGAGGAGCTCCACTGGGTGATGTCCCCCACGCCATGGCCACGTGCCCCAACCCGCATCCATCTCTCCCACCCCATGACGATGTCCCCCAACCCCATGGCGATGTCCCCCTGCCCCACGACCGTGTCCCCCTGCCCCACAGAGCGAGGAGAAGGGCCGACAGCTTCAGGAATGGTTGGAGGACGCCAAGGCCAAGCTCCAGCAGACCCTGCAGAAGGCCGAGACCTTGCCTGAGATCGAAGCCCAGTTGGCCCAGAGGGTGGCGGCCCTCACCAAGGTGGGGGGCTGAGGTCCTGGGGGGGTTCTTAGGGGGCTATGGGGGGTTTATGGGGAGCTATGGGGCACTGAAACCCTCACGGAGGTGGGTGGAAGGTCTGGGGAGGGTTCTGGAGGGCCTGAAGGGATCTTGAGGAACCTGAGGGGGGTCTTGGGGGGTCCTGGGGGGGTTCCTGGAGGGTTCTAGGGGGGCTATGGGTGGTTTATGGGGGGCTATGGGGCACTGAAGCCCTCACGGAGGTGGGTGGAGGGTCTGGGGAGGGTTCTGGGGGACCTGAAGGGATCTTGAGGGGTTCTGAAGGACCTGGGGAGGTCCTGGAGGTCTGGGGAGGTCCCGGGGGGGTGGTTCTGGGTGGTCTTGGGCCACCCTGGGAGATGGAGAGGAGGGATCCAGCCCCGTGTCCTCATTGTTCT